ACCTCAACAATGTAAACATGGATTCAACCTCTTATCTCTTCATAATCTTTGTATATGCACATATATTTCCGTTAAACTCGGGTCGTGGAAACGTCGTTTTCGCAGGCCGATGAGATTCAACAAAAAGGAAGAAGCATGTTTGAACCAAAGATAGAGATGGTTAGAGAGCAACTAGCTCCCCTCAAAGTCTGGGTATGTCATTATCATTTGTGATCCACACAGCATTCTCCCCTGTTGCGTGTTCGTTATCTAACCAGGGTTGTTTTTCGAGTTCTAGGCTGATGATATGTCGAAGAAATGGCGTGTTGAGAGAAATGGCGATATGAAAGAGAAGCCTCTCATAAAGGAACTATCAAAGATTTTGGGTTCTAAGACTCCCAACTGAACTGTATAATTTTTCTTGACCTTCTGTTGTTTATCTTGTATGTCTGTAAATGATAAGTGTAGAATGCTACTGCTTGCTAGCTAAGTTTATATAGAAGTTCCATGTTGATTTTATGCCTGAGGTTGAAAATATAAGACGTTCCAAGTTCTTGTCTGCAGCCCGATACACCGCCCAAACCCACTCTTAGCGGATATTGTCCTCTTTGTCTTTCCCTTTCGGGCTTCCCCTTAAGATTTTAAAACACGCTTTCTCACATCACAATCCACCCCATTTGGGTCTCGCTGGGACACTACTAGGTCTCTGGCTCTAATGCCATTTGTCGCGCTCCAAGCAGACAGCTAGCATATATTGTTCTCTTTGTATTTTTCCTTTTGGACTTCCCCTCATGGGTTTACAACACGAGTATCAGGGAGAGGTTTCCACATCCTTGTAAAGAATACTTCGTTCCCCTCTCCACTAGAAGTAATGTAATCGAGCAGAAGGGTTACCTGGGTTCGAGAAGAGGTGAGTTGGGCTTTCATATGAGCTTGAATTCTTGGGTTATGGGGGCTCGCCCACTCTTGGTCTATGAAACAACGATCTTCCTTTTGGGGTTCGCAGGCCGAAGACTGTGCGGTCTGAGATGAACAGAGAACATGGCTGTGGAATTGGAAGATGGTCTATTAATTAAACTTTCAATTTTATAATTATAATCTTTTAATTTTGTGTAATTTTAAAAAATATTTAATAAATACAAATTTATTAGACGAGTGATAATTATTTATTATTTATTTTTTATTTTTAAAATTAATTCTATAAACACATTATTTTAAAACTAAAAACAATAGTTTATTTTTAGAATTTGGCAATATAGTAATTTTAAGAAAAAAAAAATGATTTCTAGAAATAATTTGGAAACTGGTAGTCCCGGTTTCCGGTAAAAACTTCCCGCCACTGACGTGGAAAAGCTGAGCCATTCTGTCGAATTGGATAAACCTTCGCTCGAGGGTTTTAGGGATTGCTTCGACCCTGTAACTTGGATCGTCTTCATTTCTTCAAATTCGCAGGTAATTATCCAAATTTTCTCTATGTTTCTGATTACACCAGCGTAATTTTACCTGCGTTGGTAATCTAGCAATTGATGGAGTTGGAGTATGTTCCATTAATGGATAAAGTTTCCCGTTTCTCCGGGTGGAGGATTTTATCCATCTGAATTTATTTTTCTTTTTCTTTTTCTGTGCCGGTTCAGTTTGATATTGCTTCTTTTATGCATTCTTTAGCCTCTCTATGGTTTTGGTTTGGGGGAATCGTAGGAGAAGGAGAATTTTCGGTGATGGGAAATAGCCATTTCTGCTTACTTGAGCTTGAACTTGTGTGGTTATTTTAGTGGAGTCTGATGCAACTGAAGAAATTTCCGGTGGGAAAATTTGTTCATCAATGCACTGATTCATCTAAAAACATGCCTCTCTATGATTGTGACTGCCTTTCTTAAACCTGCTTATTGGAGATTTGTTATTTTACCTATCAATAATGAAAGTTTCGTGGGTCTGGAATGACACCATAAAGGCTCAATTAGATGTTAGAAATTCTGTATGAATACCCAGAAATAGAACAGAGAAAATCCACGAAGACTGAGAGAGCCCAAGTGCAAACGAGCTGACAAATTAAGTAAATAGTTAAGGTTGTGGAGTAATTATGGTAGCATCTATATGTGGAACATTTTAACACCTCAAAATTTGTATTGATCCTTGCAGAGCTTCAGAACAACCTTGGGCTTCTTTAACTCTTCTTGAAGGTAGTATTTATATAGTGTCAAGCATGGCGAGTATGCTTGCTGCTCCTACAATGGCGACATTCCGTGTGAATATAGGGAGCAAGAACCATACAAAGTCAAATTCTACCATCAAGGGATCTCTCAAAATTAGGGCTATGCGCATAGAGAAACCTCTTGAGGAGTTATACAATGTGAGAGTTGAACGTAAGGTATCAGAGGAACGGCTTTCCCAGCTAGGAGTTTCGAGGTGGTCGACATGGAAGACGGGGAAGTGTAAATTGCCATGGGACTGGCAAGCAGATCAACTGGTTTACATTGAGGAAGGTGAAGTGAGAGTAGTTCCTGAGGGGAGCAAGCAGTACATGAGTTTCGTGGCTGGTGACCTCGTTCGTTACCCAAAGTGGTTCGAAGCTGACCTTTTTTTCAATGGACCGTATCAAGAGCGTTACTGTTTCAAAGCATATGGTGATGACTACTAGTCGTTGCATCGCCCACGAAAAGTTTCAGTTTCTTGTTTCTAGACTGCCCTCGGTTCTCTTTTTGCTGGAAATATGTTTCATGAACATTTTCTTGCAGTTTGTGCTCATGGCTTGCCCCAAATCAGTAGCTTCTTAGAGGCTCTCTCCTTGTTGTTATGATTCTTGAAATCCTTTGGAAGATTATGCTTGGAAAGGCAGATTTGCATGAACAGCTATGTAACAATGTTGAATTGGCATTTAACTGGATATTCGATAGAAACTCGGTTGTTGTAACTTCAGAGTCTACAAGTTCCTTCGGGATCTTCATTTTAATTGTTGAGATCAAAAGATGAAGAGATTTTATTTTTCATGAATTATTTCTTAGATGGGGATCAGACAATCGACTTTTGAAATCGTAAATTTAATGTCAATCGAGTGTATGTATCAACCAGATTATCACGTTGAGACCTACCAGTGCATGTTAGGTCGTGTCGAGTCAAATCAGCTCTATTTTTGGTCTCTGATCAATACCAATTTAGTTGCTCGATCAAGCGTAGATGCTTATAACTCACAGATCTGTAGATGCTTATATAGTGTACCTTAAGGAGCTGCTGGATCAAGCGTAGATGCTTATACTATAGTGTACCTTTGCTAGAATAAGGATTAAAGTAGATGATTCAGCTCATTATCTCTACTAGCATGATTTCAATTGCTAAATCTTTTGCAGGCTCTTTTGAATAATGCTACTGTGGAGACGGATGATCCTGATTTGCGTTATCGTGCGTATATCTATTGGTGTCTCCTATCGACTGATCCAGAGGTTGTGTTCCAAAACATGTCTCAAGGTCCTCCAAGCTCACTTTTGCAGGTAGCTGTGAAGAACAATCAGCATCCAGTGTGGTATTTCAATGATAAAATTTCTATGCACATTTTCTTCGCCGAGGATGGGACGATGGAGCGTACAAACTTTCTCGAGGTAAAAAATGATATAGAAACAGTAGAATGCACACTTCAACTGTTCATCTTCTCTGTGGCATTAACTATCTTTTTCATTTCGGACTTGGAGGTCCCTTCCAGATTCGAATGAAGTTTCTAGAGATTTTTCGACCATTCTTATAAACAATGTTGACGGCATTGTCGACCGACTGGCTGCAACGAACATGTTCTTCATTGTCAAAACAAAGCATGCGAACCAGGATGTTTTCTACTTCTCTACAAAATTCCTCAGAGGAATCCCTTTGTTGATTGAAATGCGCCATCAAAACTCCAAACATTGATATGGCTCCACTCCTCTTTGAAGCCTTAGAGACCCTTCTCAAGGAATGATCCCAAGTGTGTGTTCTTCATATTCTTCTTTAACATTGTTTTTCTTTTTTCCCTCACCCTCTTAGGTCTGAGTAATCGATCATTCTCTGTTAATACATTAACATCAACTTAATAGAAAGATTAATTGTGCTAAGTATCGATTTTATACTTCCCAAACAATTGGCAATTGCCAAAGGCTTTCATTTAGAACTCGAGACATATGGTTAAATTACAAATTTAGCCCTTGTAATTTGAAGAAAGTTAAATTTTAATCTCGTTAGAATTTTATTCTTATAGTTCGACAGAGATCAATAATAACATTTAAAACGATAAACTAGATTAGAATAAAGCTGTAGCTGAACAGAGTAATTCCCAGATTTGTGCTAGTTTCGACCATTTTTCTTAATTTCGATGATAAGGGTCGTCTCGAGTTTACCAGTAGAGCAGTAATACAAAGAGAACGTGGGCACAGATAAAAGGCACATGAATGTATATATAAAATTTACCCATAGAAGAAGGAATTAAATTCATGTTCTTACTCGAATATTCACCAAGTTTCTTTGGATGGTGAGAATTGGGGATGAGAGATCATAAATAGAGAATGAGAATATGCTATCAAAGTTGGTGAGGAATTTCAGAGCTCAATGGCGGCTATATAACGGCTGCATTGCTTGGAAATGGAAGTCAACAACATAATCAAATCTGTCCAGTGCACCATTTTACCTAGAAAATGCTTCATGACCATGGCCAATCTTATCTAGAAGAGGAACATGGTGATCAGATCAGAAGGAAGAAGCAACAAGCTTTGGTGCATTGTCCAAACACAAGTCACAAAGTTGGCAAAACTTTATAGCTGCCATGGACGAACGAACCAACCAACCAACCTCCATATACTCTTCTGGCTTCAAGATCCAAGCACCACCTGCAATATAAGAAGCATAGCAGCAATCTAACATTCTTTCATGGATGCGGCTGTAAAAGATGCCACTGCTAGACCGAGCTCGCTCCAAACAACCCATCATTGTCCTTTCTCTTCACCAAAAAGGCGAAACTAGAAAAAATAATAATGAAGGGGAGCTTGGAACAGTTCAATATACTCTGAAGAAAAGCCAGAACTAAGCAAATTACAACAAATCCAGACACTTTCTGTCCTACGTCTTTCTACTTCCGTGCAAATGTTTCTCAAAGTTAAGCACTTAAATAAATTAACCGCAGTTTTTCGCATCGTGCAGCCACGACTACAAACACAGATCACAGTATTGCCCCGCTGGTTTAGCACACGTAAATGTATTTGAACATTGTAGTTTTAAAAAAAAGAACCTCTGGTTTGTGCGAGCACAATATCTTATCTTCACTGTACATTTCCACAACATCGACATTAACAGAAACTAAAGGCGCAGGAAATCGCACCTCCTTGTCACTTCCATGAACCTTCATCAGCCAATCATCTCTTCCGACGCTTTGGTTCCACCTAGCATGAGAATTCAACATGAGAATCCATATTTCTGTTTCATTGCCTAAATCCTTTCACAATAAATAAAAACCAGAGAGCACGAGACAGAAATTCAGTGTGTTACACTGCCTCTGACCCTTTTACACCAAACATTGGGGATTGTCCCAAATCAGTTGTTCACTAATACTACACTATGTTCAACACAGAGTTGACTCAGAGTTCCAATAGTCGACTCAGAGAAACTTAAAACGAAGTCGTCAAGAGTTGCTTAAAAACTTGAAACAACATGGTAACTTTAGAGCTCCAATAGTCGACTCAGAGTTGCTTAAAAACGACAAACTTTAGAGCTCCAATACAACCAAAGTCATCAAGAAGAAAATGTAGCACCAAATGTGAACTACTCGTGCACAAAGGGCAGTCCGGGAGGGAAGAGTATTCCTAGGCAAAACAAAAGGTTTGAATGTGCCTTCTAGTGCACATCAATTAATCAACTTCAATTATGTGTCATTTCATATTTTATTGATTGCAACCTAACCAAATAAGCATAAATACAGTACCACTATCCAGTTAGAGACAAAGGAGTACCAACTAAAATGAAGTTATCAATCAACCTAAACCAAATTGTGTTCAAGACCTATATTATGCAATGAGTTTCCCAAAGCAAGTTTCATAGAATGTGTTACGGCCCAAACCCACCATTAGCAAATATTGTCCTCTTTGGGTTTTCCTTTTTGGGCTCCCTCAAAGTTTTTAAACGCATCTGCTAGGGATAGGTTTCCACATCCTTAAAAGAATGCTTCTCTCCAATTGATGTGGGATCTCACAGAATGCATACAAGAATTACCCTAATAGGACTTCAAACTTCAGCCTAGCAGCACATAACGAGAATTCAGTAGTCTACACAAAAAATCTCCATGATAATAAAATTTAGCAAAAGCATAAATGTTAGATTTCTTTTATTGGCATTTCTTGCCAACATCATCACTTTGCTTATAGGCATACCAGTTATTGAATTTCTAATGGTTTGACCAGAAGAGGCACATAATGTTCTCAAGTAATTCTGCAGCTCCTCTACATTTTAACATAAGTCATACGATTTTAGCAGTATTTCTCTCATGTAAAGATGAATCAACATCCCTTACCTTAGCCTCAGCAGAAGGTGATACTGGAAATGCATTCGAGGACCTTTTCGCATCATTTTCTGAGGAACAATCTGAACACAAAAAGTTATCCAACTTCTTTGCTTCGTCAATGGTCATTCCCATGCATGATGGATGAAACCTGCAAAACATATATGTTAGTTTAGAGAGGACGAGAAAACAAGGCTTTCCATCTCCACATTCTTGTTCACATTTTGGTGCATCACCCTAACAATGGCACAACAAGTTATTGAACAGAGTGCCTATCTTTAAAATTCCAAGAAAAACCGACATATAATAGCCTGCAACGGGTGAACAACACGACACTATCTCCAAACAAAAGCTACATAACGAAGTTATAAAACAAGCAAGCATCAGATTATCCTCCCTAAATTTGCACCCAAGGAAACAAAGCACATAGCTGCAAAAGTAGGTTGAGATTACCAATCTTTGCATCCCTCACACTGAACCATAAGGTCATCTGGGTTGTATGGCATCTCACATTTACAATACCTGCAATTAAAAAAAAGAACCCAAAACACAGATAAACCACAAATTTTCTTATATAATTACCAACATGAGATTGCTTTAGTAGAAACATGTAAGGAACAAGGTACACCATAGAACTCACACAGCTACACGGTCTGGTGTGAAACCGCCAGTGGCAGCCTTGTACTCGAATCTGCAAAAGTAGTCCTCTGCACCAACATTATCAAGTTTGGTATAATTTTTAAAAGAGTGCACCGTGCATTTTCCCTCTATAGTGTGAGCACTCTGAACATCAAAATGGTCCGAGAGAAAAAGCTCTTTAGCACCATGGAACTGCCTTCGTCCTCCAATTGATTCTTCCGGCCGATAATACCACCGAACCCGAACCTTCACATTGTTGCGATGATCAGCTTCAATTTTCTCAACGCGAGCAACGTATGGAGGCTTATCGGAGTCGGACGGTCGCATTAACACACAATCACCAGCTGCAACAACCACAGAAATGCAATTCCAAAAATCAATGAACACTCACCAGAAGCAACCAAAAGCAATTGCAGAAAATGCAAACCAATTAAGCGTCGCTTTGAACACAAAAACAAAAGAAGAAGACGAAGAACAAGAGGAAGAACAAAAATCATGTTTGTTCCCAAAGAGACAATACGTCGAACAATTTTGTTGGTGCCTTTGATGGTGTATGAATCAAGATCTTTCTTCCCTGGTTTAGTCTTGGCCATGAATTAACCCCGCTAATAATCTAAGATACTGTTCGAGTCGCAACGCTACAGAAGATTAAAAACAAAAAAAAAAAAAAAAAAAAAAAAAAAAAAAA